AGTGCCAAGGGCTGTTTTTGCTTTGTTTTCAGGAGACTTGAAGGACTCAATTCCAAACTCCTCAACCTTGCATGCAAAGCCTTCTGCACTCCATCTGCATCATAATTTTCTAGATTATCTTTAGACACCCTCCTTGTATGACAGTTCACTTCTGCATGAGTGCCAAGGGCTGTTTTTGCTTTGTTTTCAGGAGACTTGAAGGACTCAATTCCAAACTCCTCAACCTTGCATGCAAAGCCTTCTGCACTCCATCTGCATCATAATTTTCTAGATTATCTTTAGACACCCTCCTTGTATGACAGTTCATCTCAGAATACAGACTGGGTGTGTGCTCTCATGCATTGTTGAACTCAAAAATTGTAATTAAAATATGAACTGCCTAATTAGTGTTTGATATATAACTCCCTAGATTAAAGGTAAATTTTATGTAAGCAAGGGAAGACTTGCTTCCGAGAAAGTCTTTATATGCCAACTACTCAGTAACACTTATTAAGTGGAATTCTGGATGAACAGATGCATGACGAATTGATGTACACTTTGCTCAGCCAAGATCAGTCTCTTCTTTTGCTTTGAACTCATTCTGTTCCTTTCTTGCTGATGCCCAGCAATGTTCTGTTAGGGAAACTCTCCCCATACTAAACATCACCTACCTTTGAAGATTACAAATCTTCAAATGGAATCTATATTCCTAGTTAAAAATGATCCCTCCTCTAATCACTCATGATACCATGGTGCTCTGTCTAGACCAGAGGTTCATTTCCTTATGTGTTGATTCATATGTATATATATTATCTCTACCTCTGACCCCATGATCCTCTCACAGTAGGATCCAGTCTGACCACCATTTCTTTTTTAATCTTCGGTAGGTTCCACCGATTTCCTGGAAGGTAGTAGGGATTCCCAAACTATTGGTGAACTATTGAGTGAACCAGTCAGTGATAAGAAAATATGATAATGCTAACGCACTTCCTGGGTGTTTTAGTTCACATCTATTCATACACAGCCTTGGTTCTCATGCTGCCCACTGTGTATGCTCTCTCATATTGCTATGATTTTGCAGACATCTGGCTCAGTGACTAACTCTTTTGTGTAATTTGGGACTGAGCTCAGGCAGTTCTGCACATACTTTGGGATGAGTGGCCCTCACCTGTTCTATGTAGTTCCTTACACTTTATTATCATACTGTAATGCAACCCCCATCTCCCCAACTCTCTTCAGCACAGTTGTAAGGAATGTAAGGAAGACTGAGTCACATTCCTAGTCACATTCCTGCAGTCTGGCATGGCATGTGAGTGATGTGCATTTCACTGCATACTCAATGGGTTCACAGCACAACTGGACTTTGAATTTTGCATATCTTCCTGAGTTCTCTGGGAGGCTTTTGTGAAAGAAGGCTGTGAACTAGCTCTTCTTAAATGTCGAAATATCTACTTTCTTAGGAGCATCGCTACTCATATCATCCAATTCTTTCCACAATTTCTTAGAAATTACACATTACATAAATTCTTTCGTCTTGCAAGTTATTTTGTGAAAGCATGCCCTTTACTTGAAGCTGTTAGTTCAGATAAGCATCCCTGTGTAGGAGAAAAAGCAAGGGCCATGCTTATTCGGTTTAGCACTTACTTCTTGTTGAGTTCAAAAAGAAGACTCAGTACACTTTAATGAATGGATGGCTTCTGGAAACCACATTATTGTTGGTAAGACATGGGACTGCCTGCCAGAAACCTGACGAGCTCAGAGGAAAACAAACAATATCTGCTGTCTGGTTTCCAGCGGTCTCTAACTTAGGAAAGAACGGGAGGAAGTTCCTTACCTGGCTGCTGAAGATGCTGACAGGAATGGGGAATGGGATGCAGCCACAGTAGCTAATGCTTTTCGTGTAGTGGAGGGAGAACTGGGCTGCTATAGAAGGCAGGAATCTTAATCCCAGTCCTGACTCTGGCACCTTCTAAGTATGTAGTCCCTGGCAGCTCACCCAACCTCAGTTTCTTTCTTACTTGGGGAGAGCAGGCAGAAACTACTATTTCCTGATGATTTACAGTGTGTGAGGTCCTGTGTGAGGGGCTCCCATATATTTCCTCACTTACTTGGAGGAAATTTGCCTACGTATTTTCCATATCTGAGTGTTCAAGATTTTATGATTCTCAGCTAATTTAAACCCCATGCCAAAATATATAAGCTCTGAAAGACATCCCAGATATACATGAAAGAAGACAGTTACTAGTGTTTTTCAAAGAAAGTGTACATTCTGATCAAATTATGCCTTTGAAGAACTGCGAATGCAAACATGACATGATTTTCTGATTGTTAGATGTATCAGTGATGTTTGACGGATGATGGAAGTAGACATCTTGGTTACTGAGTGGTGAGTACACTCAACAGCACCGTTGGCCTTTTGGAAGCCATCATGTGCTTCAGGGAAATGTTTCTGAATTAACAGCCCCCAAATGAAAGCTACATTTTCAAAATTAAGTCGTGGGACAGCAGAAGTGTAGGTTTTAATTTGCAGCCAAGAAATACAGGCCTGATCCCTCGTTTCATTAAGGTGCAAGGAAAACGCCTCAGCAGAAACTTTAAGATTTTCACCCTTTGGGTGGCAAAGCCCAGGCAGACAATGGGCTGCTTTATACAGAGCAAAGAGCCAAGAGATAAAAGAAACCGTAACTTAGGAGAAGTATAGTTCTATGTGGGAGTTCCTTTTCACACAATAAACCACACGAGCCAGATGTCTCATGAAAACCACTCCAAGGACATAATTACTGCTTAAATGATACATTCAAGACAGGGAGTGGTACCCTGGAACCCACGTTAAATATCCCAGAAAGCAACTTCTAAATTCCATGGATCTTACAGCCTCAATTGTTAACATAAGCTAATGCATGTGGGTGGGATGGGGGATGCTCTCTGTAGGCCATGTGCACCCTGGTAGACAATCTTATCTTCACTTCCTTCTTGTTTGTTGGTAGATACTAATTACCTAGCAACAAAGTGGAGTGCATCAATGGACGCTCAGCGCTCTAGCCTACCACTGCTGTGCTGTTCCATTTGTGGCTTAAACCCAACACTCAGGTTTTAGCCAGAGCTACACAGAGGCCCTCTCAGCAACACTTGGGGAAGCTTTTGAGGATCTGCCTTTCCTTAAATTCTTGTCCTCTGTTGATTATAAAGTGACACTTCAAATGATCAAGCTGGGGAGAGTGGTTCACATTGGTATCCCCAGTGCTTCAGAAGCTGAGAAAGTTGGATTGTCATGAGTTCAAGGCCAGCCTGAACCACATAGTAAGGTAGTGAGTTCCAGGTCAGCCGGGGCCATAGAAGGACAACTTGTCCCAAAATCAAATCATCAAAAGTCTTGAGATAGACAGCAAGACTAACTATAAAATGCAGATGCGGGTCTACAGAGATCAGTAAATGCAGATGGCCAACTGCTGGAAACACTCATCCTCATTTGTCTTGTGTGATGTGATGGGTCATGGTTTGAGATGACCTCAGTCTGAGGATGATAATAGCTCCAGGTCCATTCTGTATATGACATTTAGGTTCTCTAGATACTTGATCGCTGGAACTTTGTGTGACCCAGAACATACATAGCTATCTGAAGACCCAATTCTTGAGAAAGTATCTTCAGTGTATTAATGAGCAGGGCTAGGCTGTCTCCTGTACTACTCACAGAGAAGGAACACCCACACTCATGCTAACAAATAGCACCGAGAAAACCATGTCTGCTGGGATCTGTGTAACATATTGGTTTGGTCCCAGGCATCCTTACTCGTCCCTCCTCCTTGCTCCCACCTGTAACATTCTGACTTGGCGTTTCATTCCTAAAGAGACTGTTTGCTTTTGGCTTCTCTGATCATCCTGTCTTCAGAAGTTGCTCCTTCATAACTGTTCAAACTGTCCAGGGTTTCCTTCTGCACCTGGAGGACTTAACAGGTGTCCTCGATAAGAGGAGCACAGCACTGGGAGTCAGGATGTTGGGTTCAAGGATAACAGCTGCTCACTAGAAACTGTGCAGTTGGTCTGGTTCAGGTCATCTAATCTCACCCAGCCTTGATTCCTTATCCATAAAGTCGATGCAATAATATCTGCCACAATTACTGCTTGTAGAGGTCATTGCTGAGACAATTAATATGACCTTCTAGGGTCAACACAAGTTCCCAGTTATATTAGCTCAAAGCCACTATGCTATATGCCACTTTGAGTGCTTTATGAACATTAATTCATTTAATCCTCATAATAACCTTATCTTAGCGTTTAGGAAACAGACACTCAGAAAAGACAATATCTTGGCAATGTATATGATTTCCAAGTGATAGAACTATATGATGTGACCAATATGTATAGTCCCAGACAACAATTAGGTGGAGAACAATATGCAAGGGGAAAAATTTCTAAACTTCCCAGAAATTTTCAAAATAATTAGTGACCTCTCTTAAGTTCTTCCTTCTGAAATACACAGTCTCTCTCTCTCTCTCTCACACACACACACACACACACACATGACATATTTATGAATCATAAAACATGTGCCAGACATTCTACCACAGCATAGTGATGGGCAAAGATTCATAAAGACATTATGACAGGTTATTAGCTTTCTGTTAGGCTAAATGGAGACCACTTAGGTAAGCGTGGCAGGGTCAGATAAGGCATATTGAGAAAGATGACACTCATCATAAAAGATGTAAGAATACGACCAAGCAGACACTAGCAGACCATCCAGACAGAGAGAGTCCGTGATCAGGGTAGAGAGGAATAGACAGAAAACTGCCAGACCGGTGTGGCTGGAGACATGATCTGACTGCTGACTGATTCATCAACCCCACTTCCTGTTAGAACAGAAGCCGTGAAAGGGCAGTGACCTTGTCTGTGTGGACCACTATGAGATCACCAGTGCTTGGCAGAAAGTAAACGGCCAGTAAGTATCTGTGTAATTATGTACGTGCATGCATGGATGAATAGTGTTTATGAAATAAATACTGGTGGGATGGATTAATAAATGAATAACAGGAAGCAAAGCTCCAAAACCAAGTCTTCGGATTCTGTGTATCGTCTGTGTGTCCCTGAGTGTTGAAGATTTAATATTTGCTTTCTGATTGTGTTTCAGATTCTGGGATATCTTCATTCACATGGCGAGAAATCCTCGGGATGAGAATCAAGACTGAAAAGAAAATCTGTTTGTTTCATCGGTGCTTCCCACAAATAACTTGATGGTAATCTTACACAACGTTTTTAACGAAGCCATGTACAATCTATCAGCTGACGCCGGATGTGGATCTTTTAATTCTTTTTTTTTTTTTTTTTGGTTTTATGAGACAGGGTTTCTCTGTATTGTTTTGGAGGCTGTCACAGAGATCCGCCTGCCTCTGCCTACCAAGTGCTGGGATTAAAGGCGTGCGCCACCACCGCCCGGCTCAGGATCTTTTAATTCTTGACACCCTATCCGAGTTCCAAGAGTTCGAATTTTGGATTTTCAGATTAGGAATGGTGACCTCTTACTTGCTCTAAATATAATGTAACTAAAATACAACTAACTTTCCATCTCATCAACTTAATTTGAACTGTGAGGCATCTCAGATAGAATGCCTAAGCATCTACACTTGGTCTAAAAGAGTGGCCCACTGCAATGTCCAGGCAGGAGAGTGACATGGAAGAAAATGCACTCAGGTGGGAGCCCCGCTGAACAGACGGTGAGAGACCATGATGGGAGAGATTCTATATGGGCACGAAACTTCCTTTTGCAAGGAGGCTCAAATACAAACTACAGGACAGTGAGGGGAAGGCCATTGTTCAAATTAGGCTTTACTTTCACTTTGCATCATCTACTTGATCAGAACCTGGATGATGTAAAAAATAAAAAGAAATAAACCAAAAAAAAAAAAAAAGACAGCTGAATAGCTTCACAAAGACTCTGGATACAGATAATGCTGCAGTGACTACCGGCGGAAAAATCAATCCAATGTTTCTTCAGCCTACAGCGCATTCACAAGCTAGTTGCCATGTTCCCCAGATTTCCTTCTATAAAACAGGTTGAGTGAATGGGCTTGCGGCCCTCTCTTTACCCCTTCCAAGATCAGGGATTCTATGACCCTCTGAGGCTCTGATAGTCCTTGAAACATGAGTGAACCTCGTGCCCCTTAGACTTTATATTTTCAAATGTCTTGTGTATTGAGACTTAGCATGTAGGGCCGATTTCTAGGCAATGTTTGTGTTCGGGGTTCTTCAGTGTTTTGGGCCTTTGTGGGAGGGAACTGCAATTCTGCTTACTTGTTGGGTGCCCCATGGAGGTTTGTCAGCAGAGTGAAGTTGTTTCTTACACTTCGCAAGCTGGCGAGAACCTGCAAGGAGAATGTTTCAAAACTGGTTAGGGTCAAAGGACTGCATTTAAGAACCACACCAGAGACAGAGTGGGGATAAGGGTGACATGAACATACCTGGGCAAATGGAGTGACGATCAGGTCATCGCCATGCCTGGTGAAAAGAGAAAAAGAACAGGACAGATGAATGAATGTCAACTGTGACACACAAGCTACACTACAGTTCATCAGTGTCAACAACCCACCTGTTCCAGGAACCCTTCTGAGTGGAGGAATGGCAGGAGCCTATGAACTTCAAAGAAAAACAGCAGCCAGCCCATGAGCCCCAGCCTTACAGTGATTCCAGCTAAAAGCTTTGGCAGGTAAGCATGTGTCCTCAGGGCATGTAGTTCCATTAAATGGCAGGCCCAGAGTGCTATAATTCAAAGTGACTTGTGGATTTGAGTTGCCAGAGCCAGGAAACTCTAAGGGAGGGCTGCCCATAGGCACACTGTGCATTGGAAAAAATGGTATAACAGTCTGGATAAAGGGTAACACTGGATTTCCTGGCTTTTGTTGATTTGAACCACAGCTTTAATACCATTTAAACACAGATTTCTGTCTGGGAATCCCATTACTTTTTGTTTTTAATATACTCATTTTTTTTCCTCTTAAAGTACCCAAGGAAAATAATTTAATGGGAATGTGCAGACTGAGTCTACTAAAGCCATAACAGTGACACTCATTTGGTCCCAGACCTAATTATGCTCTGCCTCCGGTTTTATCAGTCTGTGCTTGGGACCAGTGAAAACTGTTTGCAGCAATGCACTTTCTGTGCTTCGGCATCTGCTTTCGTAATCTGCTAACAACTGCCTTCAGCATGCTCTCTGCTGCAGGTTTGAGAAACCGCATTGGCCACCATCACAAAATTAGGTTAATTTGCTGGCACCCTATGAATCAGCACAGGGAAGCTGATGGCAACGAGCTCCCCTCCCTGTCTGGCCTATGTCCTCCATTGCCACAATAAATGTGGTGCTTCATCCACGAAGGGCACCCCATACTAATTAAGCACCTGCCTGGCACCGAGCACCATGCGAAGTCAGGTTTCAGAGCTGCAGAGCTCACGCATCCATATCTACTCTGCTCTGATGCAGCCTTCAGCAGGGTACCTTGTTAACTGGGGGTTACCACCCATGTCTTTAGCTAGGAAGTCTCTGAAATTTCTTGTAGGTCCAGTTTGGATGTTGAGAAGACAAAGAAAACAAGCTGACAAGAGGTAAGTCGCTGTGTGTGCTTGGCCCTTGTGTACATACGCTCACTAACCATTGGCAATGCAGCCGGGAGGCGAGCACATGGCTGGTAAGTGAACATCAGAGCCTCTCTTGGCTTCCCCAACTCAATGCTTTAATGCTATAGTTCTTAGTGTACAAATCTAACTATGCAGAAACCACCACCTCTCAAATCAAAACACAAAAGAGGTCAAAAATATATTTAAAGTGACTATATATATTTGTATTTCTCTTTATTTATATATAAATACAAATTATATATATATGAAGAGAAATACAAATAATAGATATTGAACGGGATCCAAAAGAGAAATTAACTATAGGTTAGTGGAAGGAAGGAGGGCTTGGCCGCGTTGGTGGTGTTTGAGATGGAGTTTTAGGGAAACAGTCTGTAAGAAGGCAGAGGTGATAGCTGACAGCTGTGAGAGAAATGGTAATGGAGAAATGCTGAGTGTGCTCATCGGTGGCTGTTAGAGCACATTAACTATGGCATATGTAGAGTAACACTAGAAGGTCCCACGCACCCGAGCTATGGGGCACACAGCCGGTGATGTTGATGATTCACTCAACAGGAACAGGTGAGGGTTTTCAGTGACGTGGGAGGTGAGATAGCCAGACTGGGAAAAGGGTTTGAAAAAGCAAGGGGCTGTGGGTGCTGAGGGATGGAATGGCACGGAGAGCCCAGGAGGAGTGGCGAGGGGGTTCCTGGCGATGAGAAAGAGTAGGTGCAGCGAAGCAGGGAGCAGGAAATGATACTTGAAGAGACACCAGGGATCCTGTCAGAATTCAGCAGTTACTTGCATAAGGAAATCGCATTTTCAGTTTTAAAAATGAGCATCTGAGAAAAACAGTCATGAGTAGAAACAAGAAATGTGCAGAGGAGTTGGGAGTTTTCACGGCACCCATGGAACTTCAGGGTAGAGTGGAGTTCAAGGTGCTCAGAGACACCCAGGTGGTGCTGTGGACCAGGGAGGTGGTTTATCAGGGGATTAGAACTGCAGAGTTAGGCAGCAGGGACAGTCACAGCAGTGGCTGGAGATGGCTTTGCTCGCTCGCAGCAGCATATGTAGTTAAGGAGCCAAAGGGGGAGCTCAGGGATTTCAGAAAGGGGCTAAAAGGAGAGTCAGAAACGGTTGTTACAAATGGCATGTGGGGACTTGTACCCCAGCTGCCTGTGTTTTCAAGTGGCAAATGTCCAGATGGGTGTTTGCAGTCTGTTCCAATGTTTGAGATGAAACCAGTGTGGTTCATAACATGCAAGATTGAGTTGGAACACCAGGGAAGCAATTTGTAGTCTAGCAGATCTTCTGTGGCTCCTGGATTTCTGGAGTTGTAATATCCGATGGAAATCAAATCCTTTAGGAAGACAGACACGCCACCACACACAGAACTGATGTTGGACAAGTGATCCGGAGAGGGAGTAAAACAATGTAAACTAACGATTAAAGAGAGGAAGGCCACCACATTACAATGCCAACATGGCTTGCTCAGGGGACTTTGGAGGTTGGGGCAGCAGGATATTCAGAAACAGGAGTGGACTGGTGGGTTGCCTGATCTGGCTCCCTAAGAGCATTTGAGCAACTAACATAATGCCGTAGGTTCAGATAATAGCTGCTAGAGAAATGAACAGATTTAGAACAAGAATCTGGGAAGAAACCAAATAAAATGAAACAAAACCTTTGCAGATTACAGACCTACTTTGAAATCTATGTTATTTTACAAATTAAGAATAACCTGAAATTACCTTAGCAAAAATATTTGACTATGGATACTGATTTATTTATGTATTTATTTAATTCCCCAGGTGGTTAGAGAAAGGCAGGGTGAAATATTCAGAGCCGTTACACAAGCACCCTCTAGTGACAGAATCAGAACATTACACTCTTACAGTCCAAGCCTGAGCCCTCCGAGCTCAGAACAGCTTCTAGCAATTGGGTCTTGAAATTGAGTGTGTAGGTCAGATATTAAGCCTGAAACAGCAAGAATACTGCTTCTCACCACTAGACTGTGAGTGTTATTAACTTACTTCGTGTTCGTTTTTCACTATATGTGGAATTGTCTTGTGTTGGGCTGGTAGTTGATTTCAGTCTGTCTTCGACGGATTAGAACTGTGGTCACTGGGAACGCACGTCCTGTCCCTAGCCAGCATTGTCTTGTTTATCACATACTTTATGATCACCCATGAGAGTTAAGCAAACCATGTCTCAGCTTGCAAATGGGAGAAATGAGGGATCTTTCTTGGCAGATAAAAGTTCTCTATTTAGCCATGGGCATCAGTAGTGGGTCTTTATTACGAAAGTAGGCTGCTTCCTGTCTATCTTCTGGTTGGTAACAACCTCTTAAAGGTATGTATGCCTGTCCCTACTGCAGTCGAGAGAACTTGTCTCTATTGTATAGTGCAGTTACCATGGGTAATAGAAGGAAGTGCCTTGTTTTTAGGGAATGATGCAGTCATCTATCATGCTGGCCAGGTGGGAAATTTCCCTCTGTCTCATCCCATCATCGTCCACTAAGCTCTGTCGGACCCAGTTTGCAAATATTTACTACTTGCCCACCCAGCCTTCCATGCTGTGGGCCCCCGTCCTTGACATCACACGCATGGGGGGGTTAGCTGCCCCCTAGCTGCTTATTTAGTTGTGTTCACTCCTCAGCCCACCCCTCCTCCTGAGCTTGTTTTCAAACCCAAACACCTCTTGATGTCCCTCCCTTCAGGCCTTTGGAGCTCCCCACTGTTTGACTGCAGCATGAAGAACATGTTCCAGGGCATTCACAACAAGGGTGAAGCCTGTGACTTCATGAGCCTCAGCTCTCCTCAGTCCTCCCCAGAGCTAGAAAGCTGGTCAGTCACAGCCTTTATCCCGTGCACGCCCTCCTGCCCTCCTATCTATCTGCTAGCTCAGCTGGACCTCCTCCAGGAGACCACTCACCCTGTCTGGCCAGGCTTCCCAGTCTCCCACGGGGCTCTCTAGTTTTGTCTTTATTTCTGAAAGTATTAAAGCTACTAACTGACTTATTAATCCTTCCTCCTCCCCTGAAGCTTAGCAGGTGGGCTCTGGAAACCCTGTGGAGAACAATTTCTGACATAGATTTTTTTGAAAGAAAAATGCTCCTGCTAATTTCCAGATTTTTGAAGACACAGGAACTGCCTTATTTATTAGCAAAATGCTTCCATTTAAGTAAAGATTGGCTAAAAGAAAGATTGGATGTGGTGCATATTAATGGCTACCAGTAAGATTAACATTCTTCTTTGGGGCCTTGTGTCGTTTACATCTTGGACTTTGCACTGGCTTGCCATCTGGACTCCTTGGGTGCAAGCCTGGCTTTTCATTCCAGGCCCCACACCTTCATCTTTAACTGAAAAAAACTGTGGCTCCTACCACACCGAGGATACAGAGACTATATTAATGGACACAGGTAAAGTACTTTAGCACACGGCACACAGGCAAGGCTTCACCGATGTCTGTTTTTACTTACAGATAGTTTAGGCCATGAGAGATCCCGCGTCTCAGCAGCCACGGTTGGCAAATGAAACAGCTGGGAGTCTAGCTTGCGCCTCAGGTACCACACTACCTTTTGGTAGTCCATCAATAAGCACGTCTTAAATTTAAGCCGTCTATTATTTGTGCTTTCCATCTGGCTTTTAGGTCTCATTTCCCTTGATAACTCTCTCGAGAATACACATAGGCCTTTGCACATGTGGGCTTCTGAAAGGCCCCTCCCTGAGGCTTTGTTGGATGGGATGGCCACATGAGAAAAATGTGGCTCCTCCTCCCCTGAGGTTTAGCAGGTGGGCTCTGGAAACCCTGTGGAGAGCAATTTCTGACATAGATTTTTTTTAAAAAGGAAAATGCTCCTGCTAATTTCCAGTAACTTGGGTTCCCATTGAGAAACGTGTACCACAGTATGTGAAGGCATTAGTTTAGAAATGACTGCAGCCCGGGAACTGAGACCAAGAGATTGCCACGTCCAGGCACATAGCTGAGCTTGTCTTTGGGGACCCAGAGAGGACTTTGTCTTCTTTTACTAGGAAGACTCATTGCAATATATTCTTTGTTGCTAAAAGTTGAAGCCATTTAAAATTTCCCATTTACATTTTTAACCCATTCACCTCCTCTCTCCTAGCCTGTAAGCAATCTCCTTTTATTCTACAGGGACAATGCATACAGGAAATATTTCAAAGCCAGCATTTTCCTAGTGCTAGGATTCAATGCCGCAGAATTATGCAAGGCTTTTCACTTTGTCAGAATCTGAATTCATGACTGGTCTGTGCTAGATTGGAGGAGCTCCTGAGAAACAGCTATTCTGAGCCATCCCAGAGGTGCATCGAGGTACCCGAGTGGCCATGGAGAGGTCTCTTCTGCAGAGACACTGGGATGGGGCGGAGGCTACTGTTCGTGTACTGAGCTCAGTTCTTCCTGCTCAGTGACAATCAGGAGAAAGGGCTCTAAAGAGCCTCACTTCATGGGGCTGCAGAGATGGCTCAGTGGTTAAGAGCACTGGCTGCTCTTTCCAGAGGTCCCTGGTTTGAACCCCAACACCCACATGATAGCTCATTCCTGGGAATCCAATTCTCTCTTCTGGCCTTCACTGATGACACTGAACACACATGGTGCACAAATATCCATCCAGGCAAATGCCCATATCCATAAAATAAAAACAGTTTAAAAAAATAAAACAAAGATTACAATGGAATTAGGTAAAAGAAAATGTGTATTTTGTAAAAAAAAAAAAAAAAAAAAACAGACACCTAAACAGGGACTTTTCTTTTTAAGAGCATCAGTTTAGTTTAGATGTGGACACCAGTGTGAAACTGAATTTTCCAATGTGGCTCTGACAAAATAAAGTATCAGAAGAAACTGGACATTATTTGTATCCCACAGCTTCTCATATGGAGAAGTATAAAACCCTCAACTGGCAGACACAAAAGACTTTACAGTATACTTAAATATTTTCAAAACAAAATCTTTTACCCTCATGCAGCAGTAAGATTTTAATGTATCTGATACTAGTATTCTGACTCAGGAGGGGTTATTGGTTCTGTTATCATCTGCAATTTCCCAGGAAGGGTTTGTCTTTATCATGGGAATATGCTCTCCCTACTTATAGTTATTTGTATAAAGGGAGTTTGCTCAATGAGAAGGGTGCTTTCTCTGCAAAGGAGTATAAATGTTTAACTCCTCAGCGTCAACATAAAAAACAACAACAGGCATGATTGAGTGTGAC